TTTTTGTAAACCAATGGATATTAAATAAGTAGAGAATTGTGTGTCAATCGATAGTTTAGGTAATGTTTGCCGTCGTATGCGATAGTAATGCAGGAAAAATTGTAGCAAATTTCGTGTGTGGATCACGGAATAAATATGATCAGTGTCGTTTAATTTTTGTACCAACTTGCTTATATAACCACGTCCGATTTTAGTGTAATAAACCGATTCTTTTTCTAATTGTTTAATTGATAACAATTTTACAATAAATCAAATACAAACTGATGTATTATTTTTAATAAATGTTTATAAACAAAACTTTACCTTGATTTGTGATATATAAGATATATTAGATGCTAATATTTGTAAATACCCGAATTCCTGAGCGCCAGCCAAGTGTTCAATGGTGTGAATCCAATGCCCACTATTGCTGGCAATTATTGAATAAACACATCCGCCGTATAGTGTACTCAACACTACACATGACAGCAATAGTGTTGACAATACCATACGATTAACACTATTGTTGTTTGCATTTAATTGATGGATATTTTGCTTGAAATACATCGACACAACTGTCCACAGGATAATTAAATAAGTTATATTAAAAATTAATACCAGAAAGTTAAATCTATTTTAATAAATAATTGCTAGAAATATTGTTTTTAATTAAGTATTTATTTATTGCTGTAGTAAAACACTTTGAGAATTAAAACAGGCTAGAATTAAATTCCATAATGCTTTACTAAATTTATAATATAATGCTCCTAGATATTACAACATTAAACAACTACAAATCATTTTAAATGAAAAACAATAAAAAATTTATATACATTTTAAATTGATCGAACGGCATGGAAAACAAGTTATTTTGTTACAACAGGTAATCATAAATAGTACCAAAAGTACGGTCTAGTATAGTATAAATTATTAGTGAAGAAAGTACAGATCTAGAGAAGTTTAGTTATAATAATTATTACATTATTAATAAAAATTAAAGCATTTTATTTATTTAATTTTCGTCATTATTTTTACATTCTTTTATAGGTACAGTTTTAAAATAATTTTCATAAAATAAATAATTTTCTGGTTTTATAGATGTCTTTAGAGATTCTATATCACATTTCTTTTTATCACTTATTCCAACGTTTTGTACAATATAATTATCATTAATATAAGCATTTTTAATAATATTTAAATCACAATTAACTGAACGAAATAATTTTTCGTTAATATTATTATAATTATCACAAAAAACTATGTCTCCATTAGGATAGAATTTAAATATTACACCTTTTGATATTTTAATTAAACTATTTTTAACAAAATATTCATTTAAATATTCATCATAATTATAAATAACAGTTTCTAATACAATAAATTTATTTGGTTCTTTTAAATAATTAATATAGTCATTAGGAGTTTCAATTTTTTCAATATTTCTAATTTTTCTCCCTAAAATAGAGAAATTGCTATCACAAATAGAAAACGAATGACCCCTAACTGGAAACATATGACTGATTTTTAAATTAAATTTAATAGATATAAATGACAGAAATTTTATCATTGCCCAATTTCTATTCTGAGCACATGTAGCATCAGAAAAGAGTATCAAATTAGACTTTGGGTCTGTACTTTCTTCACTAAATGTTAAACTTGAAATTAATTTTTCAATTACATTAAATAAATATGTACACACAGAATTTGGGTTTTTAGGTGCGTATCCTTCTGTGCTATGAAACATATAAGAATCACTCTTATGGATATGAATATTAAAAATATATACAGATAACAGTCGTTTATAAAATGATGCAGAATTAGGGACTTTGGGACAAAACCGATTCTGCGAATAATCAAATTCTAAGCAAATATTATTGTTATTTTTGATATAATTTTTTTTGATTAATTTATATTGACTACGATTATATTCGTGTAAAGCTATTCTTTGAATATCTATATTGTTGTCAGGCTTATTTTGTTCAAAACTAAAACAAAAATCACACACATCAGTTCTCGGATGTCTAAAGTGAATATTATAATTAGCATAAAAGTGATTTCTAAAAGTTTTTGGAGATATTGGTTTAGGAATATTCTCTGGGTCTGTACTTTCTTCACTAAAATTTAATTTTTTAATATAATCGTTGTATTCATTATGTAGTTTAGTTATATTTAATTCCCTATCTTCAAAATATAATTTCATACTTTCAGTATAATGAGAGTCAATTTGAGGGTATAAATTAATAAAAACTTTAAAAATATCACAATTAATTTTAGATTTAGTGGATCCTCGTCCTCTATTATCGGATAAACTATGTCTATTTGACATTTTGTTTTGTAAATTCTCTAAACGAGAAAGTGATATTTGAAACAATTTTGTAAAAAACACTTTACACACGGGAAATTTTATACTGCAATTTTCAGATACTTTATATATCCATCTATTCGTACTCTTCTTCTCCATTAAATTGGATAAATGAATTGTTTGAGCGTTATGATCCATCATATTCCAGAAACTATTATAAATAAAATACATTTTTAATATTAGTGAAGAAAATACAGACCTAGAAGCTTAAACTTACTTTTCAAATATTGTAATTTTCTCGTCATTTGGCAACAATGTGTAACAATTTTTTGCGCAACAGTTTTCAATTAATTCATATACTTTTGCTTTGTTTTGTTTACCATTTCTTCCCGTATACGCATTACCCTTTAAAATAGTAAATATGATAAATAAATTATTAGTGAAGAAAAAACAGACCTAGAGATGATTTAGTTAAATACATTAAATTAATTAATTGTTATATTTTATACTTACACTATTTCTTAATAATTTGTTTTTATTATCCATCCAAGTCATTGGGTATATATCATTGTTATTGATTTTATTGTTTCTATTATTAATTGATTGGTTGATTACATCATTTAAATCATTACGATTTTGTATTTCGCACAGTTTAGGGATATTAGACACACAAAATGATTGATTCATTTTAAATATTATTAATTAAAACTAATTATTTGATGTTTTGTTTATTAAACACACGTTTATTTTGTGTATTTTAAAAACAATGCACTGCGCATAGCGTTTGGGCTTTTTCTTATCTATGCTTAAAAACAAAATAACTTGTTTTCCATGCCCTTCGATCAATTACAAATGAATTTTTAAAATAACATTTTATTTATCATGTTTTATCGCTAACTGATGTTAACTTACTTATAATAACTACATGTACTGTAGATTCAAGTGATTACATTTCACAATAAAAATATTTTAAATATAATTTACATTAATTAAGTAATTATAAAAATATTTACATTAAATAATAAAATAATTGAACAAATGTTGGCACTTATGAAAAGATCCAAAAGTGATAAACAGGTGTTTACGAAGCATTGGGAGAACTTTTTGTTTAAATTTTGGCACATTTATTAAAAATGTTGTATTTATTAAATATTTATATTTTTATTTAATTGTATACTTTTTTAGTAATATTTTAATAATGATTTTAATTTAATTAAAAGTAAAGCATAAATAAATACAAACAATATTTAATATTTTGCTTATTATATGGCATTTAAGTGAAAATTAATAATTACAGAAAATATTTTCTATTGAATAAAATTTAATACAAATTTACATTAAATAATTAATTATTGTTTTATAATAACTATAATTATTTAAATTTTGGCGCATTTTATACATTAAATTATGATTTGTTAAAACATTTAATCAATATTTTATTCATAAGTTTTGGTCCTTTTTATAGTATAATAACAATAAGTATAACAATAATCACTCATTCATTCAAATAGTATTAAATATAAAAGTTTTAAACACTTTAACTGTACTTATAGTCTGTTTTACACGACATGTGTTTGCATTTTATAACCCAAACATTTAATTCATTTATTGATTACAATTCATTACAATCACTTCATTTGATCCCAACATATGGCGCATGAGTTGACACAAAGGATGGCATCACTCGAGACCACAGATGACGGCGAAGACAACATTCAACAGGTATTTGACTAATAATTGACTATTTATTGAGTTTTTATTGTTTTTGTCTCACATTTTAGCCTCAAATCTACGCCAAAGACTCTTTGGATCGATTCGGTGATGACTTGTTTCAAGTTTTGTTGTCTTATCTCTCACTCGAAGACCGATTCCGTTACGAATGTGTGTCCAAACAGATCCAGAGAACTGTCTTCGAGAGTGTTGTGGACATCAATATTGACGACAAACTGATGAGTAGAGCACAGAAGCAAACCGAGACTTTAAACTACTTGTTTGAATCGATTGCCAAAAAGTGTCCAAACATTGAGACCATTGACTGTCGAGGAATAACCGCTTGTTTGGAACGCTCATCGCTAATGTCGGACACATCTCGAGACAATTTCAAGGCAATGGTCTTAGCATTGAATGAAAGCAAATGCGAAATATTACCGCTATTTCGGGACAATTGCCAGCATTTGCGGCAAATTTATTGCAATTTAATGCCGAATAACAATCACTTCTTCGATATATTTGGACCTTTGGTCACACGAATCGATTCCGGAAGAAATTATTCTCGAGAGAAACAATCGCTCATTCATTGCCACCGATTGTCTCAATTAACTGTCGTCTCGATGTCCGATGTCTTCGATAACAATTCCGGACTATTGGCGAAGAATTTGGAAACATTTTCATTTTCTTACCTCAATTATAAACAACAATTGTCTACATTTATGGCACAGAATCAGTCCCTCAAACGTCTTGACGTGTATGTCATGTCATATCAATCTCATGAGTCTATGACTGAACTGTGCGGACAATTGTCACGATTAACACAATTACGTGATTTGGCACTCGATTTCGTTCACATGAATGACCGGAACTTAATTAACTCGTGTTTGCGCGCAATTGGCGTGAATTGCAAACAATTGCAACGATTGGCACTTCGATTGGGCTCCGAGTCTAAGGAGATTATTGGCCAGAGTTTGGATTCGTTGAAAGCTTATCGCGGATTAAAACGATTGGATTTAACACTCTTTGCGGCCATCGATGGCGAGTCTTTGGAACTTTGCCACCGATTAACGCATTTAACACTTAATATGAATACATGGAAAATGAGTGAACAATTGTTGGCTAATTGTGACCAATATTTGCCTAAACTTCAGTTTCTATATATTTGTCACAACTATAAGAAAATAAACGCCGAGTGTTTGTCTCACATCTCAAGACTACGGGCGCTGCAAACGCTTGTCATCGAGAGTTGGAATCACAACAAACTGAATGATAATGATATCAATGATCTGTTGTCGAGAAGCCCTAAACTCAAGAACATTGAAATTCGTGAAAACAAATTAAATGCAATCAAATTTCATAACGATGTGCACGTGAACAAATTGTGTTTCACATAAAATACATAAAATTTATTGAATTTAAAATAAATATTACAATTATTGTATAACAGTAAATTGAAAGTAAATTGAGTTGAATAATGCTAATCCTATGGCAATAGTAATTCTATGAATGTAATGCTTTTTAAATATTCTGTCGAATGACAAACATTACACAAACATTGTTTATTTTTTAAAACAATTAAATAATATTTTTGACACCAAATTACTTTGTTTTTATTAAAATACAAAATGAAACTTAATTTGGTTATTTATATAATTAGTAATTATTAATTAATAAATGAACAAATAATTGTAATATTCATATATATCATACAAAATACTGTAATAATATTAAATAATAACTGTTATTTTAATTAAAACATAATTACATGTATTAGTTATACAGATATTTTTCAAATATGAAATCAAAAATAAATCACAATTGTTTGAATCAATTGTAATAATTATTTTACTAAAATTAACCATTAATTGCATTTTTACTTTGAATAAAACTTCTTATAATTATTGAAACAAATTTCAATTGACTTTAGTTTTGGACTTTTGAACAACACGTCCGAGAAATCAATGTCCAAGAGATCAATGGTTACAAAGCATTGAACGATAAGTGTTTGCAGAGCCGGTAGTGTCGAGATCTGATCCAAACAATGGCGGCTAAAAAATGTGCACTCAATGGATAGGCATTGAAGTCGTGGCCAAAGTTCGTGACAATTGACAAATAAATCGCTATTTAATTGCAAACATTTGAGCGATAAATGCGTTAATCTTTGGCCCGAAATCCGGAGACCAAACCATTCAGAATTGAGCGTTAAATCCAATCGTTTTAATTGTCGAAACTTTATTGAATCCATGATTTGAGTGGTTTGAGAGCTCAATACGAGTGATAATCGTTTCAATTGTTTGCAATTCACGCCAATTGGACGCAAAGACTCAGACAATGAGTAGTATTTGGGAAGCGAACGGAATTCAAGCCTCAATTGCCGTAATTGTGGTAATCGTGACAATTGTTCGGTCAGTTCGTTGAGTGTCTCCGAAGTGTTTAATTGAATCTCTTTAATGACAAGACATCTGAGGGACTGATTCTCGGCAACGCATGCCGACAACAATTGTCTGTCAAAGTCTCGCAGTTTGAATGTGAACTCAAAACCCAACAAATTCTTCGCCATTAGTCCGAAATTCTTGTCGAATACGTTATCTATAAAAGTGACCGACAAATGAGACAATCGGTGGTAATTAATGAACGATTGTTTGGCCGAAACTCCACTAATTCTGGTGACCAGAGGTCTTAACTTTGGGACCAATTGATAACGATTTGAAGGCATATTGCAGTAAATGTTCCGCAAATACTGGCAATTGTCGTGAAATATCTGCAAACCAAACAACAGATATATATATATCATTCCTCGACAGTCAATGGTCTCAATGTTTGCACACTTTTTGACAATTGTTTCCAACGTTTGCGTTACTGTTGTCTTTGTTTTGTTGATTTTTCTAATGAGTTGATCGTTGAGATCGATGTCCACAACACTGTCGAAGACTGTCCTCTGGATCTGTTTAGACACACATTCGCATCGAAATCGGTCTTCGAGTGAGAGATAGGATAATATGAGTCCAAACATGTCGTCACCGAATCTGTCCATTGAGTCCTTCGCGTAAATCTTAGGCTAAAATGTTTAACAAAAACAATGAAAACTCAATAAAAAGTCAATTGTTTGACAAATACCTGTTGAATGTCTTCGTCTTCGCCGTCATCTGTGGTGACGAGTGATGCCATCCTTTGTGTCAACTGTTGATCCATATCTTGTGATCAACTGATTGTACGAAACGTTTGCTTAAAATTACAATCAATTAGTTTTCAAATCAAAATTAATGCCAAAAACAATGCTTTCAAAGAAATGCAATAAATAATCGTTTAATGCTTTAATTGAAACAATAGTGCACTGCATATGAGAACAGGTGTTATTTAAACCGAGTGTTGATTGTAGTTGAGTATAGTTTTCATAACTTAGGATTGGAAGAAAATACAATCAATACTCGCTTTAAATGTCATTTTAACGAAAATAATGTGAATAAATACGAAGTATTGAAATAATAACGAGTGTTGACTGTATTGTAATAAACGGCTAAAAGTTTAAGCAAAGAGTATATTACTCCACAACTAATGCATACAATCTGTACTCATATTTCATATCTATTCATACAATTTGTGTTCAATTTTTGTAGACATTATTTCAATGCAAACACAAGTGATGTAATATTTGGACACAAAGTGATTGACTTTTCTTTCGTATTTCAATCAAACCATTCATACAATCACTTCAATTGATCCCAAGATATGGCGCATGAGTTGACACAAATGATGGCATCACTCGATACCTCAGATGACGGCGAAGACAACATTCAACAGGTATTTGACTAATAATTGACTATTTATTGAGTTTTTATTGTTTTTGTCTCTAATTTTAGCCACAAATCTATGCAAAAGACTCTTTGGATCGATTCGGTGATGATTTGTGTCAATTAGTATTGTCTTACCTCTCATTCGAAGACCGATTCCGTTACGAATGTGTGTCTAAACAGTTCCAGAGGACTGTCTTCGAGAGTGTTTTGGATATCAATATTGACGACAAACTCATGATTAGAGCACAGAAGAGAACCGAGACTTTAAGCTATTTGTTTGAATCGATTGCCAGAAAGTGTCCAAACATTGAGACCATTGACTGTCGAGGAATAACCACTTGTTTGGAATACTTGTCTCGAAGAATGTCAGCCATATATGGAAACAATTTCCCTGCGTTTGTCTTAGCATTGAATGAACGCAAACGCGAAATATTACCACAATTTCGGGACATTTGCCGACATTTGCGGCAAATTTATTGCAATTTAATGCCGAATAACAACAATTTCTTTGATATTTTCGGACCACTGGTCACACGAATCGATTCAGGAGTGAATTATTCGGACAAACAATCGCTCATTCATTGCCACCGATTGTCTCAATTAACTGTCGTCTCGATGTCTGATGTCTTCGACTTTACTTCCGGACTATTGGCGAAGAATTTGCAGACATTTTCATTTTCTTTCAATCAAATGGATTATAATCACCGATTGTCTGCATTTGTGGCACACAATCAGTGCCTCAAACATCTTGATATCTATGTTATGGATTATCAAACTCACGAGTCTATGACTGAACTGTGCGGACAATTGTCACGATTACCACAATTACGGGAATTGAGACTCGATTTCGTTCACATGAATTACCAGAACTTAATTAACGACTCTTTGCGCACAATTGGTATGAATTGCAAACAATTGCAACGATTGGCACTTCGATTGGACTCCGAGTCTAAGGAAATTGTTGACCAGAGTTTGGATGCGTTGCGATTTTACTCACAATTAAAACGTTTGGATTTAACACTCAATGCGGTCATCAATGGCGAGTCTTTGGAACCGTTGAAACACTGCAGCCGATTAACACATTTAACACTTGGTATGAATACACAGAGAATGAGTGAACAATTGTTGGCTAATTGTGACCAATACTTACCTCGACTTCAGTCTCTATATATTTGTTACAACTATAAGAAAATAAACGCCAAGTATTTGTCACACGTGTCAAGACTACCGGCGCTGCAAACGCTGGCCATCGAGAGTTATAAACATAACAAAGTGAGTGATAATTATTTGTGTGATCTGTTGTCGAGATGTCCTAAACTTAAGAACTTTGAATTTCATGAAACCAAATCCAATGCAATCCAATTTTATAACCATCTCTTTCAACAAAAATTAATTTTCATTTAAAATGTATAGAAATTATTATTATATAAATTGAAATTGAGTTGAAAAATGCTAACCCTATGGCAATGTTAATTCTATGGATGTAATGCTTTTTAAATATTCTTTAAAACCGATAACATTACACAAACATTGATTATTTTCAAAAGTATGAAAACAACAATAAAATAATATGTTTTCACAAGAAATTACTTTGTTTTTTATAAAAATACAAATTGAAAGTTAATTTTTAATTCATTTATTTTAATTAGTAATTATGTTAATTAATAAAAACTCAAATATTTGTCATTTCTGTGTATAAAATGAATAAAATACTGTAATAATTATTATAAATAACTTATATTTTTAGTTTAAAAATAATTACAAGTCATGTATTAGTTACACAAATATTTTCCAAATACAGTATGAAATTAAAAACAAATCATAATTGTTTGACTCAATTATAATGATAATTCTACAAATATTAACCATTGATTGCATTTTACTTTGAATAAAACTTCTTCTCATTCTTTTCCAGGATTTCAATTGTCTTTAGTTTTGGACTTTTGAACAACACATCCGAGAAATCACTGTCCGAGAGATCAATGGTTACAAAGCATTGAACAACAAGTGTTTGCAGAGCCGGTAGTGTCGAAATCTGATCCAAACAATGGCGGCTAAAGTTTAGGCATTCAATGGATAGGCATTGAAGTCGTGGCCAAAGTTCGTGACAATTGACAAATAAATTGCTGTATAATTGCAAGCATTTGAGCGATAAATACGTCAATCTTTGGCCCGAAATCCTTTGACTAAACCATTGAGAATCGATCGCTAAATCAAATCGTTTCAATTGTCGAAACACTTCCAGTGAATCCAATGTCGAGACTTTGATTTGAGTGGTTTGAGAATACAATCGGAGTGATAATCGTTGCAATTGTTTGCAATTCACACCAATTGTACGCAAAGAGTCGACCAAAGGGTAGTGTTTGGGAAACGCCTGGAATTCGAGTCTCAATCGCCGTAATTGTGGTAATCGTGACAACTGTTCGGTCAGTTCGTTGAGTGTCTCCCGAGTGTTGAATTTGATCTCTTTTATGACAAGACATCTGAGGGACTGATTCTCGGCCACGAATGCGGACAACAATTGTTTGTTAAAGTCTTTCAGATTGAATGTGAACTCAAAACCCAACAAATTCTTCGCCATTAGTCCGGAATTTTGGTCAAATACGTTGTCTATAAAAGTGACCGACAAATGAGACAATCGGTGGTAATTTATAAACGATTGTTTGGCCGAAACTCCACTAATTCTGGTGACCAGAGGTCTTAACTTTGGGATCAGTTGATTACGATTTGAAGGCATATTGCAGTAAATGTGCCGCAAATACCGGCAATTGTCGTGAAATATCTGCAAACTATTGTTATTACATATCATTCCTCGACAGTCAATGGTCTGAATGTTTGGTAACTTTTTGGCAATTGTTTCCATAGTTTGAGTGAATGTTGTCTTTGTTTTAACGATTTTGCTAATGAGTTGATCATTGAGTTCGATATCTACAACACTCCCGAAGACTGTCCTCTGGATCTGTTTGGACACACATTCGTATTGAAACCGATCTTCGAGTGAGAGATACGATAATATGAGTCCAAACATGTCGTCACCAAATCTGTCCATTGAGTCCTTCGCGTAACTCTTCGGCTAAAATTCGAGACAAAAATAAAACCCAATAAACAGTAAATTGTTTGACAAATACCTGTTGAATGTCTTTGTCTTCGCCGTCATCTGTGGTCTCGAGTGATGCCATCAAATGTGTTATCTGTTGCGCCATATCTTGGGATCAACTGAACTGATTGTACTAAACGTTTGCTTAAAATTACAATCAAATAGTTTTCAAATCAAAATTAATGCCAAAAACAATGCTTTCAAACAAATGCACAAAAAAATAATCATTTAATGCTTTAATTGAAACAATAGTGCACTGCATATGAAGACAGGTGTTATTTAAACCGATTGTTGATTGTATTTGAGTACAGTTTTCATAAGGTTTAAAGGAAAATACAATCAATTCTCGCTTTAAATGTCATTATAATCGAAATAATGTGAATAAATACATAGATTACGACTTACAGTTAATTATTGTGCATCAATTGAATTTACTTAAAATTAATAAATGTTTAATTTTAAAAAAATACTTTTAATACAATTATAGTTTTAATACAATAATATTAAATTCATTGGAAATTAAATATTGAATACATACATAAAAATCTTTTTTTTAAAAATATTTTAAGTATAATTTATAATCAATTTTTAAAAATGCTTAAAATTTATTTGTTCTTCAAATGAACTTCACGTTTGTGTCGATTTAAATGTCCGTTTGTTTTAAAACTTTTGTTACAATCAGTGAAATCACATTTAAATGGTCTTTCGTCCGAATGATAGCGTTTGTGTTGATTTAGTTTTTGTTTATCTGAAAATGTTTTGTCACAATTTACTTCATCACATTTAAACGGCGTTATATTTAAATGAATGTTATTTTTGTGTCGAATTAAATGTGATTGTTGTTTATAACTTTTATTACAATTATTGACATCACATTTAAACAATTTTTCTTCCCTATGAATGCGTTTGTGTGTAATTAGATTTCCCTTTTGTCCAAAACTTTTGCCACAATTATCTTCATTACATTTGAATGGCTTTTCATTGAAATGAACACAACTTTTATGTTTATTTAATATCGAGTTTTTTGCAAAACTTTTATTGCAATCATTGAAATCACAAACAAATCTTAGATTTAAATGAACACATTTTTTATGTAAAATTAATTCTGATTTCGTTGTATAGACTTTAATACAATTATCATAATCACATTTAAATGGTTTTTCTCCCGAATGCACGCGTTTGTGTACAATAAG